GTTCTATTATCATAGCACTGCTCTCTGGAAACCTGTGCCCCACAGACCATCTTACAGAGCTGAGTATCATGGAGGGAGCCTGTGATGCAGCCAGGGATGCAGTGTAATGGCTCACAGTAGGTTAGGCCAGCTCTTAAAAATAACCAGGAGGTAGATCAGCTCACTGATTACACATAAACCAGAATTACCTTCACTCTTAGAACAGAATCAGCCAGTTAAACAACATTTTGTTAGCCCTGTATGTTTGTCATCATATGTGTGAAAATGACCGTAAAGCTGAACCTAAACAAAGGTTATTCAACACACGCATGGGAAAGCCAGAGCTCCCAAAGGCTATTTATACCAAATCATTACCAGCATTCAGACTGATAGCTGCCACCAGCTGTAGCTTGCTGTCATGTACTTTTTGCTGCTGTAATGTAGTATGTCAGCAGTGCTGTATGCCCCGGTATCTCATTATGAGCAAATCTGCTGTCAAGACAATGAGAGAGAAAACAAGAACATGTCTGTATTTGTGATAGCACTGCTGTGCATCATAAGGTAAACCTAGTGGTTGGACAGAAATTCTCCAAGAACGGACACCAGTAGATCTCTTAATGCGTAATGCTGACTTTATTGTCAGTAAATGTAACGTGCTGACATGTTTTGGTTTTACTTTGTCCATTCTTGGTAGAACATGGATGCTTTCACTCTAGGAATAAGGCGATAGAAATAGAGAAGTGGAGTAAAGAGGGTGGTTGGGGAACAGTGGTCTCCGTACTGCTGTCTTGTCAGTGTAATGAAGTCCCCAGGCGCCTCCTCCACAGCTCCCATTATGTGTGACTAGATAACCCCGAAATATGAATTTACTCTATGGTTTTTCTTTGTTTCATTTCGACACAGTCTTTTTAGTCACCAGGAAAAAGTTCTTTTGATTTTCTGTTAAAGGCGAGCTTACAATTCTGAAGATGATGTGTCATTATGTGGCTAGACATGTACACATTTTATTTAGATTAAAAATTAGCTTGCTGGTTAAATTTTATGTTGTTGATAGTTTTCACATTCATCCTGAGCTTGGTACTTCCTCCATGTATTCATGATTTCAGGCTGTAGCCAATCCACAGGGCCTGAATTTTTCATCTGGTCGTGTCCTCCCTTCATTTGACTATTTTTCATGTCCAGACGTCGGTTTCACACGTATGATTTTTCATGTGGCATGACCTTGACGCTGAGGTGGAGTCACCGTGCAATGACGGCAGCCATACAGACTGATGTGGTGAAAGGAGAGCATGGTTTTGCAGAGACCAGAGGTTTCTTGGTAGAAGAGATGAAGAGGCTGCCAGCCGAGCATGGTGACCAGTCCATTAAAGATCAGCCACAGACAGTGTGAGGGGAGGAGCAGGGGCGGGAGGTGGAGAGATACTTTGATAAGTGTTGCGCTAGAGTTAACCTTGATGGCTGCTAGCAATGGGCTGATGCCAGCAGCAGGGATCGGTTTCAACTGGATTAGAGATTTTTTTTTGTCTCCTCTGGCGCTCGAAGAGGAAAAAAATCAATAGCTAGGAGCACAGCATGACAGGAGCATCATTTCAGAATTGAAGTGGCTGTCAGGCATTGTCATTTGGTGACTTTTGTTCGCCATTGTACATTTAAGCCCTCATTTTTCTCCCTCTCCAGTTCCTTTCACTCGTTTCTTCCATACCCCATTGTCTGAATTCCCCTGGTGACATTTTATGTTGCAATTTGAAAATTCGAGGGCAAGAGATCAAGTGCGAGAGAATCTCTTTGAAACCACTTGGACTGGTTCAGCATCTACTTTTGTTTAGCGACCCCCACCCTCCTCTCTCATTTCATCTTTTTGTCTCCCCAGACCCCCATTGTGTTCCAACAGGAATTTATTTGTAGTGCATTTGCATTTTCTGATACCAGACAAGGACAGGCCTGATGTCTTGTGTTCTTCTGGACAGTTTTCTCTGCACGTTTGCAAATGAAATCCTCTGGGAGTGCTTGTCAACGGATTGAGAAATTGGAGATTCTCACAGAGCGATAGCTCAGCCTTGGAGAGTGTGTAGCCCTGATGTGCCACCAGTGTCAACAGATTGCAAATCAAGTGCTTTAATAACATCTCCACTGGTTTTGTTTCTTCCTCCTCTTCTCCGACAAAACCTTGAGACCCTGGTTTTGTCATTTGTTGAAGGCTAACTGTGGCGTGGCAACATCACTGGACCTTTGTCTGTCACTCTAATTGATAAACATAGGGCTGATATCTTGTAATGAGCCTCCGTTCTCTGGCCTATTATCCTGGTTAACCCTCGCAACCCACAGAGGGAGAGGAGGAGGGGAGCTAAGGCATCATCTGACAACAACTACAGCATTTAGATAAGGCTAACACTGGTACAACACTACCACAGTGAAACTCTTCTAGTTTCCCCTGCTTATTGTTTGTAGAATGCCAAAACATGAGCAAGTGGCAGTAATGAGCATAATTTTTAGCAGCAAAAAGATTGTGTTATTTCAAATTAAGGTGATGTGATTAGAATGTGTTTGTGTTTTATTTCTATATGTGTGCATTGCCATTTTCTACCATTATATGATTTTAGAAATGATTACTGTTCTTTCCACTCTGCACTCGCTTTTCTTGCAGATCTTTTCCCCTCCAACTCCAACACACATCCATATTTATTTATTTGAACTGTGAATAAATTGTGGGAGACACAAGTCGGTGTAATTGACTCGATTAATGCCAGCCATTATCATTTTGTCTTCACTAAGCTGTCTTCTCAGGCAGAGCAGGCACCCATGCCGGCCGACCCCGTCAGCCAGGCCGTGTAATGGAAGGTGCTGCCCATGATTACAGTGTCGCAAGTCATAACAGTCTCACTGCCAGCAAGTTGTGCCCTGGTGTCTGTCTGGGTAGGAAGCTTCCCGAGCGCAGTCTGCCCTCCCTTTTCCTCATCTGCCTCTTTTTTTTTTTTAATTTGGTTGAGCATGTCTTTTTATGGTTGTTTTCCTGTCTAAATAGGCACACTGATTGCTTCAGTCACTCCAAAGGAGGCATGTTTCTAATTGTAAATGGGAACAGATATTTTTAATCCACTGCTTATGGTTTCTTCCACATTCCTTAAAAGTAATGAAAGAACATTTTGTTTGAAAATACTAAAAATGACCTGTCTTTTATTATGTTGGTGGACCTGGATGGAAGTGGAAGCATGATGATGCCAAGCGGGGAGATTTAGTTATTTGCTTTTGACATGCATAATAGCCCAACATGTAAGTCCTTCATAATATCCCAGCATATTTTCTGACATCACATCAATGGAATGACCCCTGGAATTAACAGTGACTTGTCTGTTCCACTTAGTAGCAAACCCAGCTTTAGGTTTTAATGGTTCTACTTATGTGTTCAGCTTTTTTAGCTGTTATTTTAGGAGTGAGTCTGTGAATTTGGCCTTTTCTCCCGTAGTCGACTTTGGCTTTGGATACAAGAAAAGCCCATTACAGCATGGAGGGTTTGGGTGTTTGGGCAGGGTCAGGACACAGGTGATGAAGTGTTTGTTTATGGCTATGAGTTTGAACCCGGCACTGCTGATTAGTACTGGAGGCTTTACATGTCTCGAACACTTTATATAGGGCTGCTCCTTACATAGTATGTTTAAAGGATGGAAATCCACACAAGCCAACATAAGGTCACATTTCATGACCAATTTATGCAGAAAACCAGCATCGCAAATGGTTTCATTACTTTTTCTTGCGACTGTATTTAATAATCATGTATGAGAAGCAGATTTTTGGGGAGTGTTTCTCTATTGTCCCAGCTTAACATTGTTTTTAGTTTAGAGTATAACCTGCAGTATAAGTGGCTTTTAGATGTTGTCTGAGCCACTTCCTTTGATCCAGCGTTCCTCCATGTTCCATTTCTGCTTGCCTTTGCCTCCACTGATCAAGATTAATGGGCAAGCAGCGCACGGCAAAGCAAAGCCTTCTCATGTTTAAATTCTGAAACATTTATCCAGTGATCCCTCTTGTGTACTCCCTTTACTTTGCTGTTTCCTTGGTCATCATGCTGGAAGGTCAAGGCCCACTTTAATGCCACACAAAGAGACACAGATTGATAATTAAGGCCCAGCAGCCTGCAGAAAAGCCCCTCTAATGTGATTTATACCTATAGATTTTCTGTCAGATATAAAATGTTGTTGTTCAAATTGAAGAGGAGGGCCCATTAAATAGTGCTTTACTGGTAACTTTAGGAAAGCAGGTTGCATTTGTTCAGTCATGCATCTAGGTTATTACTTACTGTATGACTGCTGTACCAGGACTATAATGTATAGCCAATGCAGGATTAATAATTGAATGTGTTTTCTTAATATTGCAGCTGCTTGCTTAAGTAGCTGTACTCAGAGTATGCAGCAGAAACGTGCAGTGACGTGGTTTACTATACATAGGACATTTTTCTTGTCCCTTTCCTTATGCACACCTTCAAACTGTTCTTTCAAGGAAAGCCGTAAGTGCAACATGAGTTTGGAATCAAAATTGGTTCTGAAACAGAGATTGGAAATCAAAAGACTGTTTCAAATTATAGCTGTTATTGTCAGAAGGTGTTTTACTTTTAACATTGCTGCGGAGTTCAAAGGCCTATTCTGATAACAAATTCCGACAGAGAAAAATTGTCCTCCCTGTGCGTTGTGGGTATCGTGTGATTTGGTGAGCCGGAGGGCATTAGTAAATACGTGTCCAATGTTATTAATCAACATGACACTAGGACAGAAATAACCCAATGCTTTTCATTTGGTTCTGCTCAGATCAGAGTTTCTATAGGTGAAAACGCTGTGTGCTACTGTTGTCTGTATTGTTTGTTCCTAGGGACCCATTTTGACCATATCTAATGTTTGCAAGATATTTGTAAATGTATATCTGTATAGTTCAGTTTCTGACACATTATTTGGTGGATTTGTAATGTACACACTTGGTACCGTGAATTATAAAATGTATAATTCGTATCTCCCCCCCTCTTTTCGTTCCAGTCTAGCTGTGCTCAGTACACAGCAGAGAAACGAGATGAGGAGAAAATGTGTGACCACCTGATCCGAGCGGCAAAGTTCCGCGACCATATGACAGCAACACAGCTCATCCAGAAGATAGTCAACATCTTGACTGACAAACACGGAGCCTGGGGAAGCTCTTCCACAAGGTAAAACAAAAGCCAGGTCTAAAACTAAAACGGAAATTATTAAAGAGATTATCTTGTAAAGTCTTTCCAGAATTCATTTTAAAAAGGGGGAAAAACTCTGTCAGGTGCATGAGGGCTTTCTTTTCTCAGTCATGATGCCTTACACATAAGTACACAATACACTCACCGGCCACTTTATTAGGTACAACTGTATGGAATTCAGTGCAACACTGCATTCATGCTCTTACATATACTGTATGTAGCTGTAGAGGACAGAAATATGGAGACACTTCTAAATATAATGTAGTCCAGTACAACACCACCTTTAGCTATGACATGGAAGTTCTGTGAACATTTTTGTTTTATGCATTTAATGACAGAAATGTATTTAATTCTGTTTTATCACTATTTGTTTTGTTCATTACATGCCAGGGTATTTTAAAGAAGCAAAGCGACGGCGCTACTAAAGTCTAACATCATATCAAAGACTTTAATCAAGACAATGCACCTGTTTTGTTTCTTTATGAACAGTGTTTATAGCATGCAATTTTCTCAGCCTTGAAAATGATTCAAACCACTGTTATGGCTTTAATCTCATCATAATTTTTCTCATCCCACAATACTCATGACTTTGATTAAATTAGATTTGCAAAGGTGAAAATGTCAGCTGTGGGTTTAATGATGCATTGACTCAAGAGAGAGATGAAAGCCATTTAAACAGCTCTGCTTCCATTAAGAACAGAGAGAACCTTGTCCTCTGTGTTTGTTTCGCCAAATAGGCAGCCGAATCCAGTGCAGCTATTCCCTAATGATGGCTGTTTGTGCAGGTAGTGTGTAATGATGAGCTGGAGAGACGGCCGCTGGCTCACGCTTGTTAGGCTGAACCAACTCTCCAGAGACTCGTCTGGTGAGGGTTAGTTTGCTATTGGATCAGGAGTTTATCTCTGGCTGCCTTTGTTTTCCTGGGTGTATTATTTGTCATATTTTTCTTTCCTTGATTCCATTTCCCTCCCTCCCTCACCTCCTTCCATCTCTTTCTTTCTATTAGTCTCCATGTGTACTCACACAAGGCTATACTATTTACTATGGAGATTGTGTTCTACGAGCTCTGGCCTGAAAAGTCCCCCATTACTGGCCCTTTATGCCGTTGTGCTATTGATGGTTTTCTTAATGGCTGCCGATGGGTGTAGGGAGCTACTGGCACTGGGCCTTGCAGTGTAGCGCTCTTGTAATAAATCACAATCAGTCCTGTGCCATTACATCAATACTTTTGGTCAATTACTGTGAAGGTCAGGTGGTGCAGCTTAGCACCAGAGCCCGTGGTATGTGGGCACAGGAGAAACATCTGGTGCTGCAAACCTCAGGAAGAGAACAATTATAAGGAAAAGATGGACACAGAAGGAAAACTCACAAGCACACCTTCATACCTGCAGGCATCCCAACATATGATATGTTTTTTCCTAATCCTACACATAAACAAAATGTGTGGTGCAGCAACAAGCCTCTGTAAATAGGAAGGGAATGATACACACAGCGAAACCCACAACCTTTTTCCAGCTGTGAAAATGAAATTTAGGAACACAAAGATAATACACAGCTATGATTACGACCTTTTGTTGCTTGGGTGTAAAATCCAAGCCCGCCTGCTCACACGCTATAAAATCGTATTCCCCAAAGTTTCCATTCAATAAAGAGTCTGAAAATGAAAATATTATTTTCTCACAAGCTGATGGGAATTGTTGTTTCCTCACGGCAGGCATCTAATATCTTCTGACATGGTATGACCTGCCTGAATGCAATTTGTGTCTTAATATCCAGCTTACAACAGCCCTGGTCTCTGGAGAAAAGAGGTGTTAGGTGATTTTCCCCTTTCCATTCCCTTGCTTTGTCTTTTTGTTCCAGGCTCCCCCCTCTCTCTCTCTCTCTTTCTCTCTTTCTTCATTATAACACAATTCTTTTCTCTGGCTCCCTCATTCCTTGTCCTTTGCTCTCTCTTGTTTCACTATATACTTCAGTTGTATCGCTGAGTGTCCAGGGAGGATTTCTCCACCAGACAAAGGCAGTGTCTGTCGTTTTTGTGCCCTTGTCTGTCGTATAGTGTCCAGACATAGACAGATACACAGCCAGACAGACTGGGCCCCTACCTGTTCATCCATACATTTTGGTCCCAGTGCCTGGAGACTCAGGTGTACAACATGCCAGCCCGCTGTCTTTTTAAGAGAGGACCACAGTAAATGAACAGCCAGTAGGATAGCACACAAATGAAACAACTGGCAGATGTCATTTTTTCTCCCCGCATCTCTCCAGTTTCTTTTTTCCTTTCATCTTTGAGCTCAGGTCCACTGAGCATCCAGACTGCTGCAGTGTTTATTTGGATCGGGAATCATCCTTCATGTATATGACACCTAGACAAAGTCGATGGACAGAGAGGGGAGATGAGGGCAGATGATGGAGAGCGCCAACTCACTGTCTCTGGGGACACTCGCTATCCTCTTTTTTCCCCTCTCAGATCTTCTCTTTATTTCATTCTAATAGGCTGACTAATGTACCATGGAAATTCACTCAGGATGCAAAAAGCGGGAGAAGTGAGAGGATGGTGATTGAAGCTGAAAAAGGCTGGAGTGTGATGTACAAGCAGTGTGCTGTTGTTGACCATCTACTGATGTGGCCGGTCTGTTTAAGGCAAATGGAAACATTATTCCAAATGCATAGGTTTAGGTATACTCCGTGGTATTTGCTGCTCTCATACTTTATCTTACTCCTTTCATTCAAAGCTTCAGCGACATTGTTTTTATTGGCAGTTTATTCTAACAATCCTCACCTAGAGCTTGTCCCCAAAAACACACACCACAAGCACCAGCTCCTCTCCCTCTGCTCCTCCTCCCTCATATAAGCAGCTCATTTTCTGCAGCACCACTGCTCTAATGGACGCCCTTAGGCTAGAGGCTTCCCAGCCAAGGGACATCCATCTTTTGGCATGTCACACTTGCACCCGGCAAAAAATCTTTGTGATGTGCACTCCAATTTTTCTTCAGTAAATCAAATCTTCCTTCCTTCAGAAAGACGAATGCTTTAGGGTTGGAGTGTTATAGAGAAAATCAATGCCAGCAAAATTGAAACAGTATGCCCTTGTATTGATCGGCCTTGTGAGATTGAAAAGGAACAGCTTTGTAACTGTTCTGCTGGACAGTTAGCTGACCTGTAATGGACAAACTATTGATAATAGCATTACTATTTTATCTTATGCTGTGTCATTTCACTAGCACACCGAGGGAAGTAAGCCCAAGCAGAATGCTCACAGTCCCAGAAGAGGGTTTTCCTTCTTGTCCAATAATGATGCAGCAGAGGACAGCAAAGTGTACATCTGTAAAATAAATAAATAAAACAAATCACTGAAGCCTTTATTTTGTTTTACCATTTGATTTACAGTATTAGTATGTGTTTGTTTTTAAATATTACTATGTTAGATATTATGGTCAAAGCAACTAATAGGTATTATTTATAAGTTAGATATAACTATTAAGGAATTTGGCTTCCTTCATGCATAAAGTACATCATATACCCATTAGAAATCCAGAAATGTGATGCAGTATGTGGTGCATACTGTAAATAAAGTAACCGAGCAAGTAGCCTAGAACCTTCCAGTACCTACAAATCTCTTCTGCAACCGATTGTTTTCATTATCACTTAATTTCCTCATTATTTTTGTAGGATTAATCAAGTTACTTGATTAATGTCAAAAAAGCCCATCACAATTGTTCAACAAATGCTCTGATTTTTTTGTTTTGTATGACCAATAATCCAAAGATATTTGATTTATGATGATATATGACAAAGAAGATCAGCAGATCCTTAACATTTAAAAACCCAGAACTAGGAAAGAATTAATCGATTTTCATATTTATTGCTAAAGCCCCTGAAACATGGTTCCATTTTAAGTGTTTCTCTATAAAATAAAAAAACCATTAATAAATAAAATGGAATTCTGATTAAAGACATCTTTAGAGTAGGTATTTTTATTCAGTTTAAAACTCAAATTCCCAGCTCGTCGTCATCATGACTGCTATAGTTTGATTGATGCACAGAAACATCACCTTTTTTCAACTCAATGTTTTTATCTTGGGCATTTTTTAATGATAATATAAGAAATTGAATAAGAAAATACATGTTTCTGCTGAGGACCCTGAACTCCAGCAGTACTGCTTATTCTCCTTAGTCATAACAAGCCTTGCGTGTTCTCCCTCTCCCTCAGCATCTTCTTCAGGATTGCAAATTTTTTCATCCTCCCAAGTAATCACTTAATTCTGCTCTGAATAAATCGTTGGGCTGTGCTTACTACAGTCAGGACATTCCTGTTCATGTGGTATTTTTTAAATAAATGTCCATGAGATGCTTTTTGCAGTCAGATTCATCTCTACTTGTATGGCTTCATTCCAGGCTTAAATCACAATTATGATGCATAATACTGAATGTAATGCATGTGTTAAAGCAAAGGTCTGCACAACGTCTGCGCTGCCTTGTGTGTATGTTTTATGGACACGCTGTACATTACGGCTGCGCCCGTATTGAGAATGCAGAGCTGAAAAAGGAAATGTGACTCCAGCATGTCAGTGGAGATTTTAACCATAGAAAACAAGAACATAACTGTTTAGAGTACACAGACTCTCAAATGCATGACACGAGAGGGGCAGGAAGAGTGAGTGAGTGAGTGGGAGATGGATGGAACAGAGGACGAGAGAGAGATCTTTGTTACTGAAGCATCAGAAATTGAAATGGAGACAAAGACAAGGCTGGAACATTTTTCCCCTCATCCTTTCCTCTTGCTCCACTATATGAGTGATTGTGCAAATCTGTATGTAAAAGGTTGAGAGTGACCCTCGTTTCCTGGATGGAAAACTCTACAGCTGCTGCGTTATCTGACCATCTGATCGCCTTTGTTGTACTTGAGAATAGAATAAACACTGTAGTTGGATCCTCAGTCTTCCTTGATTCTGATTTCTGCTGATGTATACAAAAGATTT